AACAGAGAATATGGAAGTCAGATAGTCAATGTGTAAGTTAATGTTCAGTATAATGACTTTCCTTCATATTACTGCCTGCAGCAATATTTTTGAAATGCTGAAAGTTAATCAATAGTTGCTTATTTTCCAGGAATTGCATGACAACAGCATAGTGTATCAGTGTCAAATATTTGTACACTGCTAGAAAAAGGGAGTAGCTATTCAAAACTTTGTACTTAATCAATTTTCTTGTAAAATTAAATCCAAAACAATGAACAAATTGGTTTAGTTCTGTTTTTGGATTTTATTTTAAAAGTGGGTTAAAGTATGGACACCTTTAGCACTACTATACCAACTGTTCCATTTTATTTTATTTTATTTTTTTAAATGGCATGCTAAAGTAAATTTATTTTTTAAATGGATCACATTTTTCAAGGATCAAAACATTGGTCTTTGGTTTTCAGACCCACAGTTATTTGCCTTCAGGTGCAAATTTATAACCACATTCAGATAAAACTTTGACCTTACCACATAATAAAAATCTCATAGATTTGCTATCGTTGCTTTGTAATTTTATTTTCAAAATACTATCCTCACCCAGAAAGTACTCATGCTTATATAGGATTCACTTCTCAAATATAAATATGAGGTAATCAAAAGCCTAAGGCAACTTCAGTCTGTTCAAAACTCATTTTCCTCTCTGCTTGGAGAAATATGTCTGAAATGTAAAAATAATAGGAAACTATATGGCAGAGAAAAAAAATCACTGCCAGTCATTGTACAGATAAGTATTGCTCCTCATGTCATTCAGTCTGCTAACATTCAAAAGAAATTCTAAGAAGAAAGACTTAATGACAACATAATGAAGTCCAGAAATTTACATCCAAGCATTAATTTTTATTTTAATCGCTGTTATATTAATCTCAAAATAAAGTAATTTATATTATTTTATACATAAGCACATTATTTTACTTTTATCATTCTGCATTGCCATAATTGACTGTCTTTATTCTAATGTTTTATATGAGGTACATTATTTTGTTATCCAGAGTAAAGACAGCACTTGGCCTTTGAAAGGTATGCTGGGATACAAAAGGGAGGGTGGACAGGACAAAACACTACATTTCCTCCCCTTTCCATTTAATAAAAATTAAATACAGTTGATATGATTATTCTCCAGGCATAATTTATTATCATCTTACTTCAGTTGCATTGAAATTAAATTTTAGTAACAACTTTTGGAAGCTTTTGGGCACTTTAAGATTTGATAGAACAGCATTTGGCCATCAGCCTCTGTTATACAATTACTGCAGTTTTACAATTATTAAAAAATAAAGCCAGTCTTTAAATTACTTCCTATTTTTTTTCAGTAATAGCATATTTGAAAAGAATGCAACTATGCAAAGATGTGAAAATAAAAATCTTCACAATATAGTCAGTCAGTCAGTCAGTCAGTCAGTCAGTCTGTCTGTCTGTCTGTCTGTCTGTCTGTA